TAAATGAAGTTAATAGTGAATAGGATTTGAAAAAAAAATAGTGAATAGGATTTGGAAATATTCAAAACTGCAAATATGTAAGTGTGAATTACTAGCCCTCTAAAAAACTAGTTTTAGAATTTATCCAGAAAGCATTATACTGTTTTGATATGATGTGTCCTTTTCTCTCAAAGAGTGACTAAATTTCAGTAGCAGTAAACTGAAAATTAGTTAAGATATAGCAGTAATACAATTGGTACTCATTATTGGCACTCGTTATGTTCTATAAAGTTGCCATGAATGCTGAATTAGCAAATACCAAGCAACTGCTCCTGGGGAAAGTACAGTTAGGTTCCTGAGAGCCTTTGGTCACACCATTTTCATCACCTGATCAACACATAACCTTATTTTATGTGTGTTTCTTTTTAAAGACACCTTATTAATATTTATTATTGATTTTATATGCATTTTAAATAGTGAAATCACCAACAAAATTTCTTACTCCTTTGCGCATGTCTGTGAGTAACTGCAGAAGCACTACTACAAGTAAATTTGGTGGTGGGAGAGTAACAAGTAAATTTTAGTGAGTAGGCAAATTTGCACATATAGATTCTACAAATAATGAGCAACTGTATTTTGAGAGGCATTTTTAGTTGCAAATGTGGATTAGCCACACATTTTGGATTATATTTATTTCACTGTTTCTCAACCTTAAAACTCTGTTATTCTGTATATATTTGGATCTTGGAAAATTTAGACACTAAAACAAATTATAAAACTAAGGCAAAATGCATTTCCATAATCATAATAAGACAAAAGGTTTAGACTAGACAGATTTTTAAAAGCACTGGAATTCATTACAATATATTCTTTAGAATACTCGAATTTTTACCTAAAAAATTAGTTAATTATTAGGGTTTAAGTGAATTACCTGGATAAAAACTGTCACACACAAATAGTTTATGTACACACAAAAACTAGTTAAACAATATAACAAGAAAACATTCCCTTTATGATAGCAATAAAAAAATATATATATATTGTTTTTTTTTAAAGATTTTATTATTTTATTTAGAGAGAGAGTGTGTGTGAGCTGGGGGAGGGGCACAAGGAGAGGGAGAGAGAGAATCCCAAGCAGACTCTGCACCAAGCACAGAACCAGACTTGGGGCTTAATCCCACAACCCTGAGATCATGACCTGAACCAAAACCAGGAGTCAGACATTTAACCGCCTGAATCACCCAGGCACCCCGGACATAAAAATATTTTTAAACAAACTTAAAAATAGAATTACCAAAAATCTACAAGAATTATATGAAGCAAAAGAAGATTTGAATAAATTGAAAGATAAGGCCTGCTATTGGCTATCAAGCCATCAGGTTAATGAATTCAAATAGAAATTCCATATCCTAAAATTAATGTGGAAAAATAAATGTTAAAAACATCCAGGAAATATTTGAAAAAGAAAATATTAAAGATAGAGTAGTAACTTTACCTATTATTAAAACATACTGTAAAGGTTTAATTAAACAACATGATACTAGAATGTGATAGGCAGGCATATCTGTCCATTATAGAAATATGTAATAAATTTCTAACATATCTGGATTACTTTTCTATTTCTTCATGCATACATAATTCTAAGAATCATGGACATATCATAAAGTATAAGACTATTTAGCTATGGCTTAAAAATAAGAACACAAAGCAGTTAGTACTTTATGCTGTCATTCTTTGGTGAAATTGGATTCCTTTCTGGTCGTTAAGTAACTGTTGTCCACAGGCCTTTTGTGGACATTTGGAGTTGGTGCACAAAGATGTATTTTAGAAGATAGGACTATATAATTTGTTCTTCTTTATTCATGAATTATCAATACATATATAATGGTTTTGGCTACTGTGCTAAGCTCTAGAGGTACAGTAATAAGTTACAACCTCTTTCCTAAATAAGCTCATAGGTCATAAGGGAGACTTGAGTTATACAAGTAACTATTATTCAATACAGTAAGTATTGTATTAGCTTTATGAGGTTAAAAGAAGTAACAGTTCTTTCTGCCTGAAAGCTGGCACCACAAGAAAGAAGTGCTTCACAGGCAAACACATTATGTGGGTCTCAAAAGCCTTTGAAAAATAAGTAGAATTTTGCCAAGAAGAAAAGGAAAAGAGAAATCACTCAAAACAGGGAGAAAATACTTTTGAACACACTCAGGCATGGAAAAACACCGAGTATGCGAGGAACTCTTGATGGTCCTTTGAGGCAAGGGTACAGGATCTGAAGAAGGGCAACATATCTGGAAAGATAGACTGAGGACAAATTGTGAAGAATCTTGAATACTGTGCTGAGGGATTTGGTTGCTCTTCTTTAGGTAAAAACAAACCATCACAAGTTTCTCACAAAAGGGACATATAAAAACAGATAAAAGACTCAATTAGAAGGAATTCTCTGAACCATCTAGCTTAATATCTGGTTCTACCCCGTGGGCCCCAGAACCTATAAGAGTCAGGCAGTGTACCTTTCAACTGCTTATATACCTGAAGGCGCTCTGTAACTCAAGGCAAAACATGAAGAAGACAAAAAGATTTGTCGACAGTGACTGAAAGCCTTCTTTAAGACAGTACTTCTCAAATCTGGATGCACACTGGAATCATCAGGCGAACTTTCAAAAATGCTCATGGCTGGGTCTCACCCCTATTGATTCAGATTCAGTTGTCTGGGAAGCAGTCTGGGCATTGAGAATTTTTCAAAGCTTGCCAGGCGATTCTAATATACATTCAAGTTTGAGAACTCCTGCACTCAAACAATAACCTATTGTTTCTACAATTCTGGAAGTTATTTTTCCCAAATTTTAAGGTATTTGAAATTTGGATACTTCTTATAACCCTTATATGCATTTCATTTGAAATCCCTTTCTTCTTCCCTCTAAAATGCTCTTGTTAAATTTATTTGTACATCCTATAACTGATGGTATCTTCGAAAGGAGGAGATGTACTGTATACAATATGATAACTTACAAACAACAAAGTATAAAATATATACAGGAGCTGGTTTGCTGTTCGTTTCTTTGCTTGTCATTCTGCTCAGCATCCTCTTCTTGCAATGAACTAGTACCCATGCTGTTTTGCCTTTGGATGTCTATCTCTTGTTTTAGACCACTTATTCCTACAAGCTTGTTCAGTATGCACTCTCTAATTTTGAGTCTTTAATCGTTTTCCATTGGTTTCTACATAAGGTGTATCTTTCCTCCAATATGCTCAAAAAACGCTGGCTGTAGTGATCTAAACCTTCTGCGCTAACCTTAAGACACTCTTTTTGTCTTCCTGTTTTGTTGTCATTCCCTTTTAGTTTCACTCTGGTGGCCGTGATAAGTTTAAAATCCTTTTGGCTAAAAGAAATGCTTTCAAATTTTGGAGTCATTGTTGAAAACAGATCTCTCATTCTTATAGTGCTTATTTTTCTCTCTGTCTCTGTCTCTGTGTCTCTTGCCCCCTCCCTCTCACCTCTCTCTCAAACACCCCCCCCCAAACCACAGTGCACATTCCCAACAACCAAAATCTCAGAAATAGCTCAGAGGTTTACTGTGAAAGATGAAATAATGGACAAACTGAAGGCGGACTTTTAAAGTGAGAAATGATGAGCACTATGAGAATCACAAGTGCCCCAAGAACATTCAGTGCCAATGAGAGAGAGGGAAAACAAGTCTGAGAAGATGGCTCAGGGTTGCTGTTAGGACTGGCAACTGAGTGAATTTGCAATCTTTTCTGGATATTTGTTTGTCTTAGTTTTTTATCATTATCCCCACTGTAATGTAATGGGCATACATTACATTGAATCTTGCTTTTCTTGTTCACTCTTGTTTCTCTACTGACAAGCTCATTTTCTTGTACATAGTAGGTGTTAATTTAAATATTTTCCAAATAACTTAATTAATGTGGGAAGAGGAGTAAGGGAGAATGAAGTGTCAAATATGTGATTTTTAGTATGATCCTAAATTCTTGGTCATATGTTTATTGACAAACACTAACCAATAATCATGTTCACCAGGGCCATCTTGCTTAATTATATATTTGGGGGAAAAAGCCTACTTATTTTATTTTAGTGATGACAACCTTTGCATTAATCATTAATGTGATATTGCTGCGGAAATGACTATATTAGATTATATTTCTAGAAATCTCTGTTCAGTTCAAAGAAGATAAGCCAATAAAAAAAGCTGGTAATGAATGATAAAAAAAAAAAAAAAAAAGATAGTGATTCCATTGTACTGGCTTATTTATTTACTGATGTGAGAGTGACATCAGCAAATAAAATGTATTCCAAAGATGGCAACCAAAACAGAGACTTTGTGGTTTGAGGAGTGGTTCAATTGATTGTAAAAGATAGATAAAGACAAAAGTATAACACAGAATGAGATTCAAGGGACTGGATTTTAACCTACTCTAAATGTCCCATTCCTTGGCCATGCACGAGTCCGTTCTCTTTTAGCCCTAGTTACCTTTCTATAAACAAAGGGGAAAGTCTTAGCGACTCTCTAAGCTTCTTTACCAGCTCTTTTTATAAAAAAATTGCAATATTACATGAACATGACAATTACCTTCAAATAATAAAAAGCTAGTTATATGTAAAATGATACCAGTTTAGTTAGGTTTGTTTTAGAAGGTAGCATTACCCCTAACAGGATTTACAGAAGGAGATTTTAGTTCAACCTAAGGGTAATTTTTTAACCATTACATTAATGAAATAAAAAAAAAAAAAGCTTTCTTGTATGAAGTAGTGATGCTTCATGCAGGTATCTAGGGAAATTATTCATTAAGTTAGAAAGTGAACTTGGTAACACCTTCCAACTATAGTATACTCTAATTTTCCTGCCTAAGGCATGACCTCAGGCCCAGCGTTTGAGCAAGCTTGTATGCCAGCATATTTGAATTGAATAAATGGTTTTCTTTTATCATAAAGTAAGGAGGGTGGGAAGCATGGAGCACCAAAACTTCGTCTCTTTGATTCGCTCTATAACGTTCAGCAGGTCCAAGGTCAACTGCCGCCATTAATGATTCCCGTGTTCCCTCCTGATCAACGGACACTGGCTGCAGCTGCTCAGCAAGGGTTCCTCCTTCCTCCAGGCTTCAGCTATAAGGCTGGATGTAGTAAGTACCAATGATTTTCCATTTGGGAGTGGGTGGAGGGCATGGCTTTAAGTCAGGCAATTTAATATTCCTGCCACACCAAGAAATGAGATCACCTATATAGCATTTTTATTTTAAAGAGGAAACACACAGAAAGTATAGAAAAGGATTTATGTTGGTATTTAAAAGAACTTAGGTTATTTCTATGCTTCTGAAGCCAATATTTGCGCTTTATATTTCGGTTTTATAACTTCCATTTCCAGTGTCTTTTATAATATGAATATAATTTTCAGGTTCAGTTTGTTTTTGCGAAGGTAAGATAGGAATATGCTTTTCAATTGCTTTCCATTGCCTTTTAAGATAAGCTCAAGTTTCGGGTGCCTGGGTGGCTCAGTTGGTTAGGCGACTGCCTTCGACTCAGGTCATGATCCCGGGGTCCTGGGAGCAAGTCCCACATCGGGCTCCCTGCTCAGCAGGGAGTCTGCTTCTCCTTCTGACCCTCTCTCCCCTCATGCTCTGTCTCTCACTCTCTCTCTCTCTCAAATAAATAAATAAAAAATCTTTAAAAAAAAAATAAAGTTTCCTAATGTGAATTAGTTGGCCTTTCGTTATCTTTATCCTCCCTATATTTACAGCCTAATTTCTCAGTAGTCTTCTTTTAGTTCTTAGACCAACCATACTCTTTCTTGACTTTGGACTTACACTGTCAATGTTTTTTCTCCTCAACATTCTGAACGCCTTCCAACTCAGATCAGAGAGAACTTGCCCAACCTAGTTAGATCCCTTTCCCCTAGTTCCTTTGGATCCTGTGTATTTTCTCTTTTATTTTAATTGTAAGTTCTATGAGGGCAGGTGCTGATTCTGTCTTATTCATTGTTATATCTAAACTTTAGTACAACATCCCATTACCTGTTGAATGAATGAATGAATGAATGACCACCTCATTACAAACACTACAAGGATATTTTTACACTAAGTGAGAAGTTAGACTAAGATAACTGTCTATATAGCTTTATTAAATTTAGATGCCTATGATTTTATGACTTCTTTTTTACCAAAATTGAAATCGCATACTGTTAGTTTGGGAAACAGTCTAATACCTCACTTTCTAAAATGTAAGTAGCCAAAATGCCAACTATAATCTGTTAAGTAAAAATCATAGCAAATTCCAAAGAGAGACTAGACTGCTAAGCAACATATATTCTAGAACCTTATTACCACGGCCATAAAAAATACAAAGACAAGTTTATTGAAATATTTTCATTGATAAAAGTAGAACATAATTGAAAGCAATTAATGAAATATCATCATCTTTTAGCTATTCAAGTAGAATATTATTTTGTAAAATCCAGTATATTTGGGTTCATTTATATGTTAATAAATTGCCCCATTAACATTTTGCTATGCTTCAGTACATACTGCGTCTGAGAAACTCTGTCCAACATTCCTAGAAACCAGATCTAAACTTCCTGCTAAATGATGTTTTGAATTTTCACATTTTAACATTTATTCCCAGTCTTTGAATTTTTGCTTTTTTTTTAAAAGATTTTACTTATTTATTTGACAGAGAGAGACACAGCGAGAGAGCGAACACAAGCAGGGGGAGGGTGAGAGGGAGAAGCAGGTTTCCTGCCGAGCAGGGAGCCCTGCAGAGCCCAATGCAGGGCTCGATCCCAGGACCCTTGAATCATGACCTGAGCCGAAGTGAGACGCTTAATGACTGAGCCACCCAGGTGCCCCTGAACCTTTCTTTATATAATATTGAAGAAATGGGATATCATTTTTTAAATATACAAAGCCATTTGAGAGGAGTAGATTGCAACTACAAAGTCTAGGTAAAAGTGAACTGAACTCAGGACTATAAAAATTCACACTTGTATGGTATTTTACCCTTTGCAGTTTTTACACTGTTTATGCACATCTTTCTCTTGACTTCAATTTCATATGTTTTAAGACAGTGTTCTCACTCTGGATCCTGAATTTATTCATTCCGTATTATTTCCACATCATTCTATCTTTGTAGATTGATTCATCCAGAAACACCAACATATTTTTACAATTAAGGACTATATTTATATTCTAAATATTTAAATTATAAGAATAATTTAAATTCTAAATACAGAATTTTAAACTCTATTGCCACACTAAATTCTGCATTTTTAATCATAAAATATTTTTTGTTTTGTTTCCATTTTCCTAAGGAATTACTGTTCACATTAAACACATGTTGCCAATGTGTTTTTTGGTAACCTTGGTTACTAAAGTGAAAAAAAATAAGACACTTTTAAAAATCATCAGTTGCCTCAGACTGCACCTGCAATATATACATATAGACTAGTTCTGTTTTCCAGAAAGAAATTTTTTTAAGCAACTGTAGAAATAAGTCCAATTAGCAAATATTGTGCTGAAGAGAAAACCATATTGAGTATGAACAATAGCGTAACTCTAGGCCTGGAAAAGGTCAAGAACACCTCTACCTCACTCCCATTTGACAGAGTTGGCATACTATGTTTGTTCAATGTTAATGTGATGTGGCATGGAGAAATTTTTCCCTTTCTAAAATTGTTCATATATTAACCATTTGATATCTGTACCTTTGGTGATTAAAACTATAAATAATACAATTTCTTTTGTAACCCTGGAAATAAAATAGAATAAAGCCTTTACAGCTGCTGGCAAGCTTCAAGCTAGCATCATGCCAAACTCTAAAACTAAGAAGCCAGTAGCAAAAGAAAGTACCACCCTTGTTGACACTCTGGCACTTTGAGTCAGTTTGGATGGAATCAGTAAATAGTCCAGACTATTCCTCCCTAATCACATTGCAGGAAAGAACAGAGACAGGGAAGGACACAAATCTTGCCATCTCTCTTTAGGGGGCCTTCTTATTATATTCCCTCCATAACTGCCCACCATATGTGACTTCTCTACTCATCAGTTATTTTATTTTATTTATTTATTTATTTATTTATTTTTAAGATTTTATTTATTTATTTGACAGAGAGACCAGTGAGAAAGGGAACACAAGCAGGGGGAGTGGGAGAGGGAGAAGCAGGCGCCCCGCAGAGCAGGGAGCCCGATGCGGGGCTCGATCCCAGGACCCTGGGATCATGACCTGAGCTGAAGGCAGACGCTTAACGACTGAGCCACCCAGGCGCCCCTCGTCAGTTATTTTAATTTGAGTATTATTATGTAGTTCTCAATGAAAGAGTCTGACCAATTCATCTTGATTTGAGTTTCAAGTAAATATGAAACATGTATTTGTTGGTATCAAAAACTCAGATGCTTTTCATCAATCCATTCATAGAAGGTATTGATGATAAATTTTTCTGTTTAGACTACATGACTTGATAAAATAAATAAAATAAAAGTCTCTGGAACTACACAAGAAAGTTAAAATGTTCTCAACGGGAAAAAAGTAAAATAAAAACATAAGTTGGGGATGCCTGGGTGGCTCAGTCAGTGAAGCGGCCAACTCTTGGTTTTGGCTCAGGTCATGATCTCAGGGTCCTGGGATTGAGCCCTGCATTAGGCGCCATATTCAGCAGGGAGTCTACTTCAGGATTCTCTCTCTTTCCTTCTCCCTCTGCCCCTCCCTGTGCTTATTCATTCTCCCTCTCTAAAATAAATAAATAAATCTTAAAAAAAAAAAAAGGTTGGGGACCCTAACCATCATCGATTGATTTAGCATCTTCTGTTTTCCAAAAAGGAAATTTTCAGTTGCACATAAAGATATTTTCTCTTTGAGAAATGTAGTAGTAGAAATATGGCATTGAATGGGGACCTACAGAATGGAGGTGCTGGATTTTCTCTTAATTGCTAGAATGAAGGTCAGTAAACAATAGAAAATAGCAGTACAGCCAAAGAATTCAGAACAAACCGTCTAGATAGAAAAGAAGCTTTAAAGAATGTTGTAGTCCACTCTTATCGATGAATATGTAGATAAATTCACAAATATTGATGTAGTATTATCAGAATCTCAGATTGTGTTCTGGCATTTGCTATTAATGAAATCAAACATGAAACTGCACTTCTTCATGGATCCATATCTAGTTATTCCTTTTCCTACTTATTTCTTAATATCTAAAAATACTTCCAAACTTCTAAGGAGTTAAAAATAATGGTGCATTATTAAATTTGAATATTTTAATATATGTAATAACTTGATTGATAAAACACTGATTTGATCAATCAACTCCATTCACAGACCATTCCATTCAGGGGAAGAAATTAATGAAATAATCTGTATATTTAACTTGTCAGTTCTATGAAAACTGTCAACTAAGTTGCTATATGTAGACACACCCCAGTTTTTATATTGCATAATTAAAAATCCCAATTTTTTTTGAGAGAGAGAGAGCGCACATGTACATGTGCACATGCAAGTGGAGATGGGGGTGAGGGGCGGCGGAAGGAGAGAGAGACTCTTTTTGTTTTGTTTTGTTTTGTTTTTTGAGAGAGAGACTCTTTTTTTTTTATAACGATTTTTATTTATTTATTTGAGAGAGAGACTGAGAGAGAGAGAGCAAGAGAGGGGGGAGGGTCGGGAGGGTCAGAGGGAGAAGCAGACTCCCTGCCGAGCAGGAAGCCCGATGCGGGACTCAATCCCGGGACTCCAGGATCATGACCTGAGCCGAAGGCAGTCGCTTAACCAACTGAGCCACCCAGGTGCCCCCCAAATCCCAATTTTAAATTATATTTGTAGGTGCCTGCTCATTTTAATCAGAAAACTGTGATTAAATTTCTTGAAATAAATTTTAAAACTAAATAACTAAGCTTCTAATACTGAATAATAAAATAAATGGTATACAAATGAATTGGTTCAAATACACTTTGGGTGGTTGAAGAGTCCAAGGAGATAGTCCCTTTGCCTCTGCTGGAAAATCTGACTGAAATCCTAACCTCTTGCTTAACCAAGATCTTCAACTTGTGAACCACAAAACTGTTTCAGGTAGATAGTTTTGAAATAAACTGTACATACTTTTGACTCCTATACAGTACTTTCATGTTGGCAAGAAGACACC